CCTCTGGGTAGGCACACTGCTTTCCAGTTTTGTGCTACATTAAGAAATGTGCCAAAAAGCACCTGTAAGAACAACAGAGAAAACCACTGGTAGATATATTCTCAGTGCTTTGTATGTTCCAGGTTTATTTCAAACCAACTTTTAACTAAAATGCAGGTTCCTTTACCTCCAATAAAGACTCTACAGCCATGACCTAAGACTTCCCCAAAGAAGGATGCACTTTTTTTTCCTGCTATTCTAAAGTTCTTTACAATTCATATCAATTTCTTTTTCAAATCAAGGCTATTCATTTGAGTCAAATGTTGATTCCCAATTCCAGGTTTTCAATAGCACACTACAACTACATTTTCCAGAATAACTGTCACAGGATTTCTCCTATGCAAGAAACCCAAAGTACAAATAATTTAGAGAACAAGGTAAAAGATAATATGAAATAGAGAGGGAGACCCTTTGCAAATGAGAAAGCAATTTAGAAATGGGGGAATGGAAAGGCTAGGGGAAGTAAATGAATTGATATGTGTTATTTACCTGTACCAACTTCCCAAGATGAATATCTCTTAAATAACTCTCTTAAACACGCCTAGAGTGCTTACAAAAAACCAGGAATAAGCACACCTTCAAAACACACTTTTAATTCTCTTCATAAAATTAAAAGCTTAAAAAATGTGAACTATAATATTTAAAATACACTGTGCAATCAGTATTAGCAGAACATGAGTCCACAAGTGAAATAAGGCAAAGTCTACCTAAAAAGATCAATGTATTTTAAAGAAAAATTCAGTTTTTCTGGAAGAAAAACCGGGCTCATTGTCATCCAGAGAGGGGTCCTGCAGGAGGAGCCCTGGCCCTGAGGACACTGCCCCATTTCTCCAGGTGGTCCGCTAGAGGGAGCTGCTGCTGCTCTGAAATGGTTGTTACCCTTTTGGCCTTTAAAAAGCTACATTTCTTGGTTGTTATTAAACAGATTCATATATTTTGATGCCATTCTTTATAATAAAATTGACCATTGAAGGAAGTCAGAAAAAAACCTGAGTTTTTCACTCTACTTTACACAAAAACGTTTTTCTGACACCATGACTGTTATGGTTGGGTCTAGATGTCCCCATAATGCCTCATGCAGTCACGGGGTTCTGGGCTTTTCAGAGGGGCTGAATCTAGAACGTGTGATTGATTCACGGTCTAATGCTGGGATGAAAGGTGTAAGTGCTACCTCCGCCCTAGGCCAGTTGCTTGCATACAGTATAAGAAGCAGAAAGAGGTTTGCTCCTGTCAGGACGGCCTGAGAGTGATCTGAGAGAAACTTGGGCTGCCCGCTACAAACAATGGACTCTCCGTGACTGTCAATAGCTCACCCCTGGTAAAGAAGAATCAAGGGCAGTAAAAAATTGAGTGTGAGGCTCAGGGCGCCCTGCAGTCTCCTGATGCCAGCTCTGTGCACCAACCTGCACTGACTGCCCATTCAGCCTTAAACTCAAACATTTCCTCCAAATTCTTTAAGATTCTTTAAATTGTGCCCCCAAACTTAAAACCTATATATGCTCAGTTGTCCCTTTAGATATTTTCTGATATGCACTATCATGGACTGATCAGGTCTACAACTTCCTAAATGAGTGGACAGCAAAAGGCCTAAATAAAAGAAACAGGTGGTACGATTTTTAGGGCTCCAAGAAGGTCAAATCCCTCCCACAGAATTTATGATTCCCTGGGGGTTGAGACAAAGAATTTCTCTGGGCAGCCTGTATTGGTTTGGTTTTGGAACAGAGGAAGAGGATACTGAGGCAAGCAGAGGAGCTGAGCAGGAGTTCAAAGACGGGAGTCAGTTCAAAGACTTTTCCAAGTAGTAAATTTTGCTAATGATGAGAACAGTCTTATCTCTTGGGCTGGCAAATTTACTGCTCTGGAATAAGAGGTGTCAGCAGCTTATGCCTTTGGTTGCCTGGATTGTGGTTATCTTGACTGCTTATGCTCTTTTTCAACACAGTCACAGGTCCCTGGATTCAGCAGCTTAACCCTGTATAGCCTGGTCTCCAACAATTCACTCCACTATCAGCCTCTCTGTAGGTGGAAGAATAAAATCTGATCTTCCCCCCAGCTTCAGTCTCAGGTTGGTTCATCATGTGTCTTATTATAGTCCTCCTCAGCTCTTGCTGCTTTTGCTGTTTTCCACCACCATGAACTGTTGCCCCTCTACCATATGCCACCCCCACGCCTTGGAGCCAGCTGAGTATGGACTGAACCCTCCACAAACTGTGAGCTAAATAAACCTTTCCGCCTTTAACTTTGGGTGTGGGGTATTTTGCCTCAGCAATGAGAAAAGTAACTAAGAAAAGAACAAGTTAATAAAAATGGAAATTGAATTACTGGTATCTGCATTCATATGAAAGAGATATCTTTTATATGTCTAAAAACATAGTAGAAGAACGAGAGCTGTCACATAAGCTGCCACTGTAAGTTTAAATTTTGCATGGGGTCTTTTATAGAATGGCAGGTTTGTTATAAAAACTAAACAAACAAAACAAAACAAAAAAAGGCTCACCTCTGAAAGGCTAAAGCTGTCTGTTAGGGGATAAAAGAATTCATAAATCCAATGCCAAAGTAAATTTCTTAAATATAATATAAATATACATAAGTGGATAAGGCATTAAATTACATTTTTTTTTAGTATCTTAACTCTTACAGTATAGCAGATTTTTTTTTCCTTCCCGGAACAAGAAACCAAACCAAGAACCTGCGCTTTCCAGTCAGGCACTGTGCCACCGAGCTAAATCCCCAACCCCACTTACAGTATAAATAAAAGCAGAAAAAAGATAATGTAATGAGGAGAGCATATAAGAAAGCTCATGAGAAAATATTGTTTAAGGAAATTACTGACTAGAGCTTAAAGTACAAAGAATTTTTTTAAATTAAGATTTAGGTGAAAGATTTATGTACCTCCAGCTGTCCTTCATAGATAGCTTGTCAAATATCATTATAACAAGAAGTAGAAATTTGTGACTTTTTTCTTATTCTAAAATTATAAATGTGAGTTGAGGCTCCCAGAATCCAGGATGTGATCCAAACCCAATCTATCCATCACCCAGTGTCTAGAGTGTGCCTAGCACTACTCTTAACCAGTCCCTCCCTAGAAGTAAGAAAATAAGAAATCTGCTGAGTTCAAGTAAGATGAGTCTGTATAATAGACAGCAACAAGAACTCACTGCTCTAGATCTATTTGAATGCTGAAGAAACTATGATGGTTCTTCTCTGAGTCTGAGTTGCCTTCAAAAGCTGTCCCCTCCCTACCCTGCCAGGCCCTGACCTGCCAAGACTGCTGCTCCTCCAGGTCACACAGCATCAACCCTCTCTTTGACCCCTGACCATTTCAGCTCAGGATTTTGATCTGATCACAAATAACTGCTCTGTCCCTTACTACCTTGACTGCCTAGCCAGCCCTCCATAAGGCCCCCAAAAGTTTAAGAGGAACCGAATTGACCACTCATATATCATGTGTCATCTTCACAATGAACCTGTTAAGTAGATATGACCGTACTTTACAGGTGAGGAAGTATTTACTGCCCCCCAGTGATCTGTTGTTGGATGGAGCTAGATGCACGGGGCTTTGAATAGCAGCTCAGTGACAAAGTAGTTTCACATTAAGTACTTTATCTAACTTGGAAAAAATACAAATTAGGTCCGGTAACAGAAGTTATCGATAAAATGAAGATGAAATTTGTCCTGAACTGTTCAGAAAGAAAGTTTTCACATGCACTGAATGTTGGTTTCTACCTTAGAAAAACACATTTCTATTTACCAGAAATATCCTAGATTAACTTAAAGAATTCACCTAAATGAAGATGACGACAGTGGTGGTATCCATAGCTCCGAGTTACATAATTTGCCTAAAACTAAACAACAGCTAAGGGCAAGGCCAGAAATTGAACCCAAATTTATAAGGTATCCTGCTTTGAGATCCAAGAGTGTATACACAACTTGGTCAGGGAAATTCTTTTCAAGCTAAAATAAAACGGAGGAAGAGAAATCCCCAATACCTTGTACCTAGTACTTAGTACCTTGTTCACCACATAATAGGTGCTTTTGCTCAGCTCTGCAGGGTTATTTATATGTGGCAATGCTGGGTGCTTTTGGGGGACAGTGTTCTTTCCTGCTCTGGAAGCCTCAAGGAAGTTTCCTTGAAGCAAGAAAACTTCAAGGATGAGCTAACTGTGCTTCAGTCTCAAATGGAGCAAACCAGATCCCCATCTCTGCAACGCTTGGCCTCCTCGCTGCAGGGCTTCCTGTTCCCATGCACGGGGCAAAGGGCACAGCCCAGTCTCCTCTGGCCAGCCTTAACCAGGGTATAGACATTGCACTCTGAGGAGACCAGCCCTGGGTTTTAGCAGGCGCAGGACACTGCCTCTTTGAAACGGGATGTCTACTCAGTTCTGAAATGTTCATGGCAGGAAAAACGTTCATGTGTACCAAGCAATAAGCAGGTCACAAGGTTGATGAAATGGACTCAGTATCTTGCTGGAGCATACTGCAAAGTGATTTTTCTCTGTCCCTTCCATTTTACTTTTATGAATGGTCAATAATAATTAGTTTTAATTGACTAAGTCAGACCATCTACAGTAAGTAGAGGCTGACTGAAACAAAAATACTCACTATTCAACATTCACAAAACCACATAAGTAGAAAAGAACTTCAACGTTTATGTCAGTTAGTGTGTGACAAGAGCATTCTGAGATAAGGTGGGTTTGAAGCAGTACATCAGACTGCACAGGCAGCAGAATGGTGAGGCCCATGATTGTAAAGGGGGACTCAGGCAAAATCAGAATCAGAGATGGAACAAACACGACAGTTCCCTGAGATAAACACAGGACATGAGGAAAGGGTGGAGCTGGGGAATAAACAGAGGGCTCTGCTGCCCTGGTGGGTGGGGGAGGGTCAGTGAGAAGCCCTCCTCAGGTGCCCCTCCCTCACCCTCAGGACCCCTTTGTGACTCTGTCATGCTCTGTGATGCTGTCAGGGGCATATGGTCAAGCTCCTGCACTCTCAGGATTCAGTTGCCTCAGGTAACCTCCCCGTTTGGGTTATGGAGAATGTTCTCTCTTTTCTGAATAGCCATACTGAACCATGGCTGAGCTTTGGCTCAACATTCTTGGATACAAACCCTGAGTTCGCTTGGCTGAGTGCAGCAGGGTTGCTCTTTCTGCCCTTGTGCTACCTGTTGCTGAAACCATGGTTACCAACCCTCCAGAAAAACAAAGACATCCAACAGGTATGAAAATGTGGGTGAATCTCCAAGAATGAGCCTTTGTTCCTGTTTCCCATTTCAATTCTCAAATTACTAAATGAGTTTAGTTGGCTCAGAAAACTCCTGCAGTGGGAAGTCTGAGGGGAAGATACGCCATCTCTCTTTGGGGAAAGAGGCTAGGCAGGAGTAAGGGATGGGGAGGCTCACCATTTCCCTCTAGCCACCCCACACACTACCTCTCTGTGTGTGCAGAGCAGGGGCTTCCAAGATACAGTCTCAAACAGCCACAGCCTGGTGCCAGCTGGCTCAGTTTCTGACTGTGTTTTCTGAAGGAGAACAGTCTCCTCTGGGCCTCGATGCTGAGCCCCATTCCCAGGTCAGGTGTCCTTCCCCAAGCCCTCCTCCCTGTTAGGATGACCAAGAGAGCAATGCCATCCTCCAAGAACATCTGAGCAGAGAAGAGCCCGAGTTCTATCCCCCAGTCCAGGTCCTCTGAGGACCACACAGCTGACTATGGGCCTCGGTCTCCTCCATTTTCCAGCAGGGAAATTCTGACTGGGAATGTGTCTCATGGACACACCTGACTGGATCTCATGGACAAAACCCTCAAGGGGATAAAATTGAAATCATTTTCTTTCAAAATGCCTGAAAGGAACCGATTTGCATTAATTAAAAGGGACAGTTGTGTGACTCTTGGGAAATGAATCCCTGAGCTTATAGAAAGAAGCAAAACATGAGTTCCAGAACTCTTTATTTTTATTTCTTTTTTCAGCCACAGCTCAGAGCCAAAAGAAGCAGGAGAAGTGGAACATTGAGAGGTGTGTTTCTTCTTTTCTTACCTGATCTTTCTAAGAATGATACCACAAATCTTTCCATGAGGTCCCAAATCCATAACTGCTGAGAACAGCAGTTGTTAGACAGTCTCTGTTAGGACACAGAGCCCTAGAGGAGAGGCCCACAGGCCGGTAGCAGAGCCCGCTCTCAGTGCCATGGTGTGAGGCAGCAATGGAGCAGACCTCTGAGGTGTCCAGCTGGTGTTCATGTGAGATGTCCAGGAAGGACTCTTGGTCAGAACTTCTGCCTCGTGACATTGTGTAAAGTACTTTATTTCTGGGTGCCTGGCTCCATCAGTGAGATAACTCTGACTCCTGTGCTTCATTTGTTAGTTTTGAGCATCACATGGAATGATGAATGTGCAGGTACTTTACAAAGAAAGCCACAAACCCACGGGGATGTTCTTAACACCATCTGCCACCATCTCATCTTGTCTGCTGATTCTTAGGGCTTTGAGACTTTAAAACCCTAAGAGTTTCCCATAAAGTATCTCCCTTAAGAGCCCTGTGTTTGTACCCTCACGTGTCTCCCATTGTCCTGCTTTTCCAGGTCAGAGAACTTGCCAGAAAGAAGCAGAAGAGGGGAGGAAGCTGCTTTCTATTCTGAAAAGGTGACTTGTCACTTCCCATCTTTCTTGATCCCTTTTCCTGCACCCAGAGAATCAGTGAAACCTGCGCTGGCCACGGCAGGGCAGCCATAGCAGCACATGTGGGAATGAAGGCTGGGAGGAGCTGTGCGGTGCTGTGCGAGGTCACGGCTGTGGGGCAGTGGGAAGAGGGTTGCAGGGGTCAGGTGGCCCCACCCCAACCAGGACAGCAGGCCTTCCTTCCCTCGTGCCGGTCCTGGCTACGACCTTGCACTTTCTGTCTCTTACAGCCCCCTGGGCCAGCACCGTGACATCACGCACTTCCGACAGCTGCTGTGTCCAGACCCCCTCTGTGAGGTGTGTAACACCACAACAACTAACATCAGTCGTCTTCTCTCTCGGGCATCCCTGGAAGATGCTGCTCACACTGTGTCTCATTTGTCAGCCATCACTTCTGTGACAAAGTCGTCACTCACTCAGACCTCTGTCATCTCTGCAGAGCACCCAATTCCAGCTTCATTCACTGAGCATACTCTGCCTCAGTCCTCCACTCTCCCCGCTTTCCAGGTCATCCCTTTAGCAGACCCACTTTCACCCTTGGCACAAGACGACTCCGTGCCACAGGAGCCCAGTCCTCCCTTAGATTCAAGAATCCCAGTGGACCAGTTGCCATCAGAGCCACTTGCCACAGCCTCATGCCCACCACATCGTACTCAAGAAAAGGAAACTGTTCTCCAACTAGAAGCCCCACCATCACTTGATGGCTCTGGTGTCTTGTCCACTGATGACCTCAGTTTAGCGGAGGCCTCCTTTGGGGAACATAGCACAGCTTCCCAGGTAAAACCTGGATCCCCCAAATCTCCCAGATCTGTCCACCCTGCCCTCCTTGAGAGAGATATCAAGAAGAGAGATGATTTCCTGATGTGCAGTGAACGAGAAAAGGGAGCAGAATATTTTGCAAGACGACATGAGTCAGGCTACTCGCTGACTACTACAGGGAAAAGACCAGAGTTAGCTGCAGATCAGCAGCACTCTGCACTCTCCCATCCTCCTTCGAGCAGTGAAGGCAAACCAGAAGAGCTGCACATGAGTCACAAGCTTGCAGGTCCTAAGAACTTGGAGGATCACGTAGATCCAAAATGTAGCCAGATCTGCCCTCTCCCAGGACTGCTTAGACAGTCACTGAGTCCTTTTGTCCATACCTCACGTGACTGCCTCAGTGCAATATCCAACATCTTCAAAGCCCCTGAATCCCCAGGCCTTCCACACACACCTCTTCTTTCCTGGCCTGAGGTCCAACCTCTACCCTCGTCCCATACTCTGCCCCAGGCTCAAGCTCACCATCACCATCTTGTACAGGCACAGGGTCAGCTTCTGTCCATAACTGCAGTACTGCCAGATCCTGCTCTAACCCAGAATACAACCGGGGAAGTGTGTTTTCAAAGCACCCAGAGTGAGGCGCAGTCTCTCACACTCTCTGAAGTTCGCAACCTGGATTATAACATGCTACAGAAAGTACAAAGTAGTGTGTGGGGTTTACCCTCTGTGGTTCAAAAATACCAGGAAGACATTGGTCCTCCAGTTCACAAGCTACTACTGGTCACCGAGTCCCCCAAAGATCAGGTGCCCATCTCTGGCCTTCCTAAAGAGTCCTTGAACAGTGAGATGAGGAAGAAACTAGAGCACCATCTTCACAGGAATGTCATCCAATACCAGCAGGGCTTGTTCCCCAAAGCTCTCAAGTCTCCCCCGGCAGCAGGTCCTCAGACACAGTATCCTGTGACCTCTGAGTCAAAGGGCAGCCATGGAATCAATGCAGTCTCTTTGCTTAAGGGTCAGACCAGCAAAGATCTGAAGAGTTTTGACTTGAGCCAAGCCAGCTTTCATGAGAGGTTCCGAGAGATGCCTCCTCTGAAGAAGGGAGTGGGGAAAAGACAGAGTCCCGAGACGGGTGACCCACATGGGGTACCACAGTGTGTTCTGGGCTCTGACTCAGACACAGACCTGAAAAGTCACCTGAAGAGGCTCACAGGGAAAACTTCACAGGCATCATGTATGAGCTTGAGAAAGAAACAACTTATAACAGCCTTAGAAGTACATTTGGGCAAGAAATTTGAGGAAATCAGTAAGGGTTGCATCCCTGACATTGTGCACAGATCAAGGTATTCTACCAACCTGACACTTTACTTACCTGAGAAATCCCCCAAGCAAGTAAAAGACAGACGTCTGGCACCATTTGAAGGTAAAGATAGCTACCCGAATATCTCTCAGAATATTTCCTTCCTCAGCAACAAGAAACAAAAGATATTGGAAGATCATATTAAAACTTTTCACAATGGAATAAGGTGGGGCCTTCCACACAAGGTCCAGAAATCCACAGAAATCTTCACAAGAAAGGCCTTACCCCAGGCACCTTCTGATTCCCACATTCTCTCATCAGATAATAGTGTTTCTGGGGTGCATCCTAAAATTGAGGTCTGCAAACCCCATAGAGAAAGCCCCAGTGCGCAAAATATGACCACACCGAATTCAGTTTTGGATCATCCTTGTCCTGCTCCCTCACCTGTGGACAAGAAAGGACAGGGGACCCTGAGACGGTCACCTTCTTCTACCAGCCAGGAGCTTACTGAGGACCGCACACAGATCTTTTCGACCCCAAGAGATCACATAGACAAAGCAAGTCAGCAGACTTTGCAAGCCAAGAGAAGCCCAACGCCACCCCCACGGCTGGCTGTCGTGGGCCCTGAGATAAGGCAGAAAAGAATGAGTTCTGGCAGTGTCATAGAAAGGCATCAGAGCAAAATGACGATGAAGTTAGAACACCTCCCTGTGTGTGACAAACCCAGGAGGACTTTCAAAGCACAGGAGCTCCATGTTCGGCAGTCACAGCCCAGAACCGTCCTGATGAGCAGTAAGTCAGAGCACGTCCCAGTGCGAGATGTGAGTCCAAGAAAACCAGAAACTTCCCTGACCACGAAGAGAGCTCCACGAAGAACAGCAGTTCCCCAGGACCTCAAGTCATCAGGCTTTAAAACTCAGCAGCTTAGGGAACCGACGTGTGAAATGGAGAGCGTGGAGCAGAGCCAGGCTCAGAGCCTCCCCACTAATGTGTCCCTTGCCTCCAATGACTTCAGCCTCAAGACCTTATTCCGTCATGACAAAGGTGCCCCCTGTGAGGGCATGGTGACTTCACTGAAGGGACAGCCTCCTCCTGAAAATATTTTTAAAAGAAAGATAAAATACTTTTTCCAATGGCTTTATTCTAGTATGAAACATATAGGGCAAGAAAGCTCCAAGGGGAAGACCGGTGCCTCATCCTCCTGTGTGCAGGGCAGGCGCCCGGGGAGAGGGCGAGCTGGACTGCCTGGGAACTCCAGAGATTGGAAAGTCAGCAGAGTCTTTGCAAGGTTCTTTCACCAGAATTCGGAGGGAGAACGTTTTCTTCCCTGCAAATGATTTCTGCCTTGTTGAAAAGTGTTCCCAATAAAAGTCCTAATAAAGTGATGTCTCTTTGTGTACTGAGGGGAGGGCACAGGTTGAGTAACTTGGGCATGTGCTTTTGGAAAGTACTAAGTACAGCTCTCAGTGATTGACTAAGTACAGCTAATTGGCTAAGTACATCTCTCAGGGATTGGCTCTTTGGCTTCTAAAAGTGACCAGTTCCCTGTAGCCCTTATTGACCAGATATCACATGTCCCCAAAAGGACCTTCCCTCCCTGAAATGTGAGGAACTGGTGGTACTTCCCACTACCTAGCTTAGCCTCCATGATGTTGTGTGACTGCCTATATCTTTCTCCTCATGCATTGTTTCTATAGGTCTTCCACATCTAAAGAGGTGGTCACAGGTGATGGCTTAGGCAGAGAGTGGATCAGCTATTTCCAGAGGCAGAGGGTGATCTTTCTCAGCGTTTGGAGGGTACTGCCCCAGTGGATCATGGAGGTTGGGTAGGGACTGGCAGCACCGTATGTGCTCTGCAGAAGCTCTTGTGAGGGGTGTGCTAATATGTTTCAGAAAGACATTTTTAAAGTTTTTTTTATTAGTATTTGTGTCACATAATGTACAGTCACTGTGGGGAGTGGTACATGTGCATAATACATCTTAATTCTTTGGCCATCCCTTCCCCTCTCTCCTCTCCTCATCTCTTGGTCCCCTTCCCATTTGCAAAAGATGTATCTCCCTGGTTCTTATTATTTGTCTTTTATTTTGTTCTTTATTTTCCACGGAGATTTCCCTACTTAAAAATCTCCCAAGATTTGTTGGGAGTTATTTGTTATTTCCTGGCTTTGTCTTGTGGTGTCTGGACTGATGATACTTTTGCCCAGTGAAAGGTCGCCCAGCTGTCAGTGGTTGGACAGTTGAACCAGCATCCACCTCCTTCCCAGGGTAAAAAGTGCCAAGAGATCAAGGAAAAGATATCCTAAAGTGAGTGAGAAAGCAAGAAAACATCGAGAGGGAAAGATGAGTTTCCCTCTTTAAGGATGATCAGAATACCACAGAGTTTACTGGTGTCACACCAGCAGAAGACAACATGGTGCTATTATCTGAGAACTAAATATCTGCAGGGATGTTATCAGGCATGTCCTTGCTCTCTTTAGGGAAGGTGAACTTGGTGCCTTCTTTCAATCTGTGCTGGATGACAATATGCAATATCTTGCCCCTCAGTGTGTATGGTTCTACCATAGATACACCACCACTCTGATCTTCAATGGCCTTGGCGGAGCCATGGAGAGGTCTGTCCCTGTTAGCTGCAGCTTATGATCTAGTGGTAAATTTTGGATTATGCATCAGGAATACAGATTCGTGGGCGTTCCACCTGGATCTAGATAGAACTCTTTCTGGTAAAGATCTCACTTACCCACTGTACAGATAGTGGTCTTTTGGGAAGACAACTATAGTAGTTGCTTCCCCTTGCTGGGACATAATACCCAACACTCACACTGTAAAAGGGGAGAGGTTTATTTGGCTCAGTTTCCAGTGGGTATAGTCTAAAGTTGGCTGGCTCCAAGGTAGAGACACATGGTGGAAGGGTATGGGGGAAGAAAGCTGCTCATGTGGTTGCAGCCAGGATGCAGAGATAGAAAGGAGGAGCCAGGGTAAAAACTATGCCCTTGCAGGTCACCCTCCCCATAGTGATGCCCTCCAACCAGGCACAACCTCCTATCAGCACATTAGGCTGCTGGACCCATCCATCCACAGGTAAGTGTCATGTCCTCATGAGCCAATCACTTTATAAACACATGGGACTTTGGGGGGATATTTTAGATCTACACCGTAATAGCAACTCTCTGTGTATAGACAGGGAGTCAAAGATTGTTTGAGCTTCCCAAAGGCCTCTTGAGGTTCTTTTCCCACAAAAAATTTGGAAACACTGGGTGTCAAAATGAGAATAAAAACAAAATATATGTCCACTATAGCCTCCTCATTCTACCGTAGTTGTTCCTGTCCAGAGCCTGTGCAGTACCTGAAGCTTAGTGCTGCAATTAGAAAGCAGATTCTGCACAAGCCCTGGAAGAGACCAAAGTGGGAGGATCCCAGGGCAAGAAACTTGCAGAGGTGAGGAGTGTGTGGAGGGCCTCAACATCCATAGTGACAGGCTTGCCAGCCACCTGGCCTCTACATTTGTTCAAGTCCTAATTGAGGGCCTTTTCCCTCCATCCCAGTGCATTTCCTCCCACATCCTAGAACTGCCACCAGCAAGACTTACATTATAGCCACCAAAAGGGCTATGCAGCTAACTTTATTCAAAAGCAGAAAGAATGGTTGGCTCAAACAGGCACGCATTAGCTTGATATATTTGTATCTACTTCTCTATGATGTTTATATGTATCATTTAGATAAACAAGGGGCAATACATAATTTATACAATTTAGGCTACTGATTTCTTCACTATGCGGCTAAGCTTTTATTTTTGGACTCATTGAAACTTAGCTTCATTCAGGAAAATTATGTGTTATCTCTGAAGAGCTAGAACCACAAAACTCATGTGCTGCCATGGGCGGAAGTTCCCACTGCCCTGCCGGCTCCAGGGAAGACCCAGAGTCAGGGAAGACTTATGGAGAGTCATCTGGAGTCACCTGGGGTCAGCCATCAGGGGGTGACTGCAACAGAGGTGGTGGCAGTGGCACAGTTCCTGTGCCATGGAAAATAAGGCAAGCGCAGTGGGGCAGTGGTGGAGCCATGTGGCAAAAAGTGACTTTCCCCTCTCTGGGTTGCAGTTGGGTCACTCATTCTCTAAAAGATTCACCATGAGGCTGCGGGTATAGAAGCCCCTTCATCCCTCTCTCCAAACACTGAGCAGGCTGCAGCCAGGCAGCATTTTCCCTGGCTCACACCAGGGGAAGGAGATGAGGGGTAGGAGAGGCTCCCTCCCCACCAACCCAACCTCACACTGTGACAGGATGAACAGGTGAACACTGCCTCTGTCTGGAGTCATCGACAGTGGATTCTGGGCAGGCCCGAGTCACCAGCAAGTGCCCTAAGTTTGTCCCTTGCCAACTAGAACATTCACCAGGGCCACAGTGTTAACACTGATCTGGTTGAGTATGTACCAGGTACCCTGGGCTCGCTTGAATCCACACCCAGCTCCCACAGCACTGCACCACTCACAGACCATTGAGACCTTCTTTCTGATACCTCATTGCCAGTCTCGTGCAACCTGGGTTTCCATGAGGAGCACCAGCCTTTTGTGAATCTCCACCAAGGGCACCTGGCCTGCAGAGCACCCATTCAGCATCAGGTACACTGCTCTACTCATGGTTGCAGTGGAGCCTCCATCCTGCAGAGCACCAGAGTCCAGGCAGAGTCCCTGTGCAGTGCATTAGGCCAGTCCTCTGCTGGTCAGCAGCCAGAGCTAAAGGTCTGCTGACGTACCCTGTGCTCCCCATCCATGCCTTACGCCCTTACTAGGCTGGCCAGAATCTCTGCACAGTAGTGCTGGGCACACTTGGGTCTCCTGGGTGACCTGAGGCAACATGAGCCTCCACCTGGTGTCGGCAGCTGGTCCTGTAGCAGAAAAACTAATATCAAAGCAAATGGAAGACTTTGCCCCGAGGAGTTAGAAGGCAACTTTTATTACGCTAGTAGGTTGGGGAACCCAGAGATTCAAATCAGCATCCCAGAGTCAGGTTTGAGTTGTTTAAATATGGTTTGCAAGTGGGAAGTACAAAGCTGATAGCAAGTTATTACATGATTGGTTACACGGACTACAAGAATTATGTCATGTATTGCCAGGCAGGTTTGTAGAGGAACATTCTGGGAGGGAGGGGGTCTGAGAAGAGTAGGTAGAGTTGAAAGTGTCCTTGACTGGACCAATCTTCCTCAAACATGATGGCCTTGAAACCCTTGAAACAAGTTGGAATCACTGCATATTTTTAAAACATGAGCTGGACACAGTCAGTTTGATCCCACACATTGTTAACGGTGAACATCTGGGCCTAGACAGTCAAGGCTAGCTACGTGACAGGTAGCATGAGCATAGCCCCAGGCTATGAACTGGTTTCTAACTTTTGCTACAATACGCCTACAAGTCCGCTATTCTATGTGTGTGCCCTAACATCTCCCCACTGCTTTTATTGTGGAGGAGCATCTTCTTCCTGAGTTTCCCCAGTTTTTTCAGTGTTAAGGAGCTGATAGAAGGAAGTGACCTGCAAAAGAAGTTGGTGGTGTATAGCTTTAAAGCATTTAGTCAGGGAGTGTGTCAGAATGCAGAACATACAAGGATCCAGGATGGCTCCTATACAAGAAGGGAGAAAGTCTAAGGGTCCCTACCAGGAAGAGCTTTCCATAAGATTTGGGACCCTATGTTTGAGGCATTCCCACAGCTGGTGAGGGTTTTCTCTTACTACTTCTGACTTATTAGCATAATAACAACATTCCTCCTCCAGGAAGAGTCAGGTGCTCCACACTGGGCTGCCAGGAGATCTAAGGTTCTTTGATTCTGGAGGACAATGCAGCTAATGATTTTATTTGATCCTGCAGCATGTCCATTGAGATTTGTATGTTGGCAAAATCTCCAGCAACCTGAGCACTTAACTGTGAGTACTGTTGCTGGCTTACACCCATAGCTGTAGTACTGAGGGTTAAACTCCCTGCCATTGTCCTGAATAAACAGAGGTCAGCAAATGCACAAGGACTCATTTTGGTGCTATCAAACACTGATGTATCCCGTCAGTGCAAACAAAGAAAGTCCCAAAGGGGGCTGAGAGAGAGAACCTGAGATGACAATCAACACATCTCTATAACCAGCAGAAGCATTTTGGCCCTAAATGGAGCCCAGGAAGCAGTAAGTACTTCCCCATACCATGGTAGGATGGGGCTGAATAGGTGAGTGGGACCTTTATAGGAAAGGAAGGAAAGGAGGACACAGAGCCAACAATATACTTTGCCTAAGTTTGGGTTTACAGCCTGAAGGACCTGGTGGGTGCTATTAATCAGACACAAGAGGTCTGGAGTCAGGGGTCCATTTAGTCTGATTAAGGACTATGAAGAGGCTTCATGCCA